CCACTTTACCCAGCCAGTACTCACCACCCCCTCTATATCTTTTAAAGAAATGATAACACATGCAGGTGCTGGTGGCTCACACCTGTAAATCCTAGCTACTAAGGAGGCTGAGGAGATCTGAAGATCCACTGTTCAAAGCCAGCCTGGACAGGAATGTCTGTGAGACTCTTATCTCCAATTAAATCACAGAAAAGGCCAGAAGTAACACTGTGGTTCAACAGTAGAGGACTAGCCTTGCACAAAAGAGCTCAGAGACAGTGCCCAGGCCCTGAGTTCAAGCCTCAGGATCAGCAAGAAAAAAAGAAAGGAAGAAAGAACACTAAAGCCAGTGGCTAGATTGTATTATTTAAAAGAAATGCTTAGCTGGGTGCAGTGGCTCACGCCTGTAATCCTAGCTACTCAGGAGACTGAGATCTGAGGACCGAGGTTCAAAGCCAGCCTGGGAAGGAAACTGTGAGACTCTTTATCTCCAATAAACCACTCAGAAAACCTGAGGGATAGCACCCAGTCCCAGAGTTCAAAAAAGAAAAAAATACTCAGCATCCACCTTGCATGAGGCATATTTCAAGTGCTAGTGGAGGCGCCCACGGTGGGCAAGGCAAGCCTGGAACATCCCAGCCCTGAGCAACATTCTAGAAGACAGCACCGTAGGGGAAGGGGTCTGCCCTCTCACTCTGTGACTTTGGCCAAGAGTCATCTTACCCTCTCTAGGCCTCGGTCGCCTGATCTGAACTGTGGGGTAGGGAGTAGCCCAGCCTGGCGGTGCTGTGGGAGGGCAGCAATGGCTGCCACGTGGTGTGGCATCTCTGGGACCCGGGCCTACCTGCCGAGTGCACGGAGACAGCGCAGGCCACCAGGGAGTAGCTGGTGTTCAGCAGGACCACGTGGTCCTTCTTGAGCTGAAAGGCGGGCTGGAAGGTGGGGAAGGGGTAGACCACCTGGTACTTGGTGTGCAGCATGAAGCCGTGTTGCAGGCAGTGCGTGCTCGGGTCGCCTGCAGGGGCACACAGCACGGGGCTCACCGCGGGCCCCGGGCAGCCGCGCGCTGGCACAGGCGCAC